GTTCTACGGGCACAGCGCGCCGGTGGTTTCCCGTCGCACTGAAGCAGCAAAAAAAAGTACATCGTGCTGTTCCCATCGCAATGTGGTGGTGTGAACCAAGCGATCTGTAACCGTGCGGCAATGGAGCGCGAAACTGCGCGGATATGGAATCTCACAACACCGCCTTATTTTCGAATGGCACCCCAGTTGCGATTGCCACGCAGATGTAACCCCATTAAAATCAATGGCAGCCGCCGTGTTCAATTGTGCATGATCGCGCTCCATTATCAGAACAGCAGGTGATGGGAAAATCCCTTCAATGGGGATGCACCCAAAAACACATTTTTTAGTGTGTGTGAATGTCAGGGCTTTTAAGGCCCATGACATGCTTGTGCAGTTGTTGATGGCGATTGGAAAAACAGCCCTGAAGAAGGGGATTATCGAAATGTGCCAACCTAGTATTATTAGTAGTAGTAGTAGTAGTAGTATTAAAAGCTCAACCTTTTATTTTTTCTTCAATAATGAATGCAGATCAAACAAATATTACGCTGCTAAGTATTTCTTTATTTCTGCCCAAACACTTAGTCATCATGTTTCTGAACAGCTCCAACTCTCTTAGCTCCTCTTCCCTGAACTTCCCGTCCAGTACAAGGTCAGAGCAGTCTACTGCAAATGTTCATCTACTAGCTCGGAGGAGAGAGGAGTAGGGTGAGGGGATTGGCTTTTCTTTGCTGCGCCTGTGTGTTTGTGAAGACACAAGCAGCTTACTAGCACACATAAGGGTGGCTCCATAGGACCTTGCAAGGGAAAGGAGCCATCCTAAACCAAGATGTCAGGTGACCAGCTGATTCTGCAGGGAACTAAAAAAAAACATTTGGCTTTATCACTTTAAATGTTCAATAAATATTTCAGATTGTTCTAATGGTCAGTTAGTGTTGGTGGTCTTGCATGTTCTCTCGTATATGTACCCGTGTCTCGTGCCGCCTGTGATCCTAACTGCCTTACAGTACGGCCTCCGCCCTCGAGAGCTTCAAAAATAAAAACCCGACTGAGCTTCTTACTCTTCCCTACACTATGCAAAGATGACTGACCAGTTGCGCTGGGGGACTTGTAGTCCCACAGCAGCTGCAGACACTGATTTTCTTTGTATCCCCCCTCCCCCCATTCACAGAAATGTTTTGTATCATTTGTCCAGTGTTCCAAATAGGAGTCATCGGATCCCGGCGCTGAATGGCCGTCCTTGTGCCGGGTTTCTGCCTCTCTCAGGTTACATCATTGAACACCCCGCACCGTGTGAACGGCTTCCCTTACACCACATTCCAGGCGGCTGATGTCACACCGCGCGGAGAATCTTTTAAAAAAGGAAGTGGACGGACTAGAAATATGTCTCGGGGATTGTCCTGGTCTAAACAACAATCCTCTTTCCTTTCAGGAAATGAGTCTTTCGGATAAGCGTCTGCTGTTTAGTCATTTGTCATCCTAGGCCTGATTCCCGCCCAGCCTGCCGGCGCTCATCGTTTTCAGGAATCGCTGTGCTTTATGGAATAAGCTGCACAGATCTTTACTGCTTTGTTATATGGACAGTCAGTCATCTGCCGGATTATTTGCAAATGGCAACATGACATGTGCTTTAAAGTGTGAGGGTTTTGTCTTGGGCGAAATAATGAATGAGCTTTTGTTGTGGGGATGAGTTTTAAAGCTGCGGGAAAAGTAAATATTGTCCTCATACAAGAGTCATGTGTATTCTTCCTTTAAATCTTGGTGAGCTTTGTGTATTTCTTCCAGATCTGCTTCCTGTAATAAAGACCGCTCACTGCTGCTCTTTGTCCTTCTGCAGGGTGACTGGTTTTGTCTCCGCCCCTTCTTGTAATAAAGACTGCTCACTGCTGCTGCTCTCTCTCCTTGTGCAGGGTGACTGGTCTTGTCTCCGCCCCTTCCTGTAATAAAGAACGCTCACTGCTGCTCTTTGTCCTTCTGCAGGGTGACTGGTTTTGTCTCCGCCCCTTCTTGTAATAAAGACTGCTCACTGCTGCTGCTCTCTCTCCTTGTGCAGGGTGACTGGTCTTGTCTCCGCCTCTTCCTGTAATAAAGACCGGCCACTGCCGCTCTCTCCTTGGGCAGGGTGACTGGTCTTGTCTCCGCCTCTTCCTGTAATAAAGACCGGCCACTGCCGCTCTCTCCTTGGGCAGGGTGACTGGTCTTGTCTCCGCCTCTTCCTGTAATAAAGACCGGCCACTGCTGCTCTCTCCTTGGGCAGGGTGACTGGTCTTTTCTCCACCCCCCTCCTGTAGTTTTCTGCTGGCAGCCTGTAGTGGGTGGGGCCTGTTGGGGCTATGTGCAGCACATTGATGATGTCGCTGCAACGTTTTCAAGGTAATATCAGGTTTGCGAAGGCATTTAGTGCACACAAAGTGGATTTATATGATTTGTGACTATGGAGGAATATATTTAAATGAGGTTTTGTGTCCTCCAGTTTTTTTTTTTTCCTTTTAATTTTCATGTTCCATATGTATTGGGAATGACAGAGCAAGGACCTGCCATGTGCTGCTTGTTCTGAGGCAATCTTCTCAATTTGTACATTGGATTAGTGTTATGAAAGCTGCACTTCAGGCAGATATAAAAGGAAATATTAGAGGGACTGTCAGTCTCTTTACAAAAAAGATAAAATCACACTTGAAGTTTCCTACATCCTGTATCTCCTTCCTTCCTTATTTTACAGCGCTGCAGCCTCTGTACTGCCCCGGGAGTGTCAGATGCCTGTAACCCCCCACCAAGTGCTATGGTTCCATCCTGCAGAACCTATGCCACCACAGTACAAGGCAGTAACCTTATGGTGGAAGGTTGAAACCATTGCAGGCGGCGGGAGCCTGCCATGAACGTCTTTGTTCAGTCAATGGGAGGTTAGGTGTGAACCTAGCCAATGGGAGGCTAGGTTCACACCTAGGCGACACCTCGCCGCTAAGGTGCGAACCACTGTGGGTGCCATTATGTTCTAATGGCACCCCAGTCGCGTCGGGCGGATCGCACTGTTTCCCACCGCGATTCCAAACATAAAACAGCCGCACGTTGTGTATCGCAAAAAAAAAAAAGTACATGTACATTTTTTCTGCGATTTGCCACGCGGATGTCACCCCATTAAAATCAATGGGGCCAATTGCTGCCTGCATTGTACAGGACCGCGCGATCCCGGGACGCAAATCCCGAGTGTCGTGCGGTGTAAACCTAGCCTGACTCTTCTTGTCACCTTTTCACATGTGCCCCTAATAAAGACTACAAGAGGCCATGTTGACCCGCATTGCACAGGCATGGTCCACCATTGTCACCATCGGGAAGCCGGTCCATATCAATGATGTGGAGTGAGTGCATATAGACAGGAGAAGGATGGGGGGAGATCAACAGCACTGAGATGGGAAACTTGTTGGAAATTTATGTTGGTAAGTAAAAAAAGAAATTGTTTGATACAAAATGCTTTCGCTACTAAATCTCCAGATTGCTTTCAGATCTGCTCTAAGAACTTGAACGTGTTACTGACTCGCTGTAATACTGTGCAGGCGTCTCGGTTGCTGACAGCTGTCATTCCTCAGGGTCTGTGATTATCCCTCTTGCAACCTTATTTGTCATAGAGAGCGATTGCTGCTAAAGACCTTCCATAGCGCTATGGACCTTGCCGGTTGCAGATGGTGCTCATGTAGTATGTCCTCAGGACTTAATAGATGTGTTTTGTGTTTGCTGTGAGTCTGATTGCATCAGATTGTGTTTTGGCTCATGGGGGGGGGGGGGTCTGAATTTTGTGTCCCGGCTGTGCTGGGAGTAATGTCATCTGGCTGCCACATGTTCACACAAGTTCTCTGCATTGCTGAGGATGCATCAGTCAGGAACAGCCTGTGACATCTTGTGCAGTGGAAGGGCCTGGGAATGGATGCGGTTGGCTTCAAAGCAACATGTATCCCCTTACAACTTAATTTCATTAGATTATTAGAAACATATATAAAGATCTTCTCGCTCATCTCGCACTGTCACCACCTTCATGCTCTCTTGGAGGCCTCACACCATTGTCAGAAGGGAGCAGGGCTTCCAGGTACCTGGGCGCATATGACCTACCCCATGTGACAGTATTTGGGCCTTTTCAGCCAATTACCCCAACTGGACACTGTCACCTGGGGGATTTGGGTTCTTGTTTTGGGGAGGCAATGCTGTGTGGTGATTTAGACCTTGCCTTGTGTGATGAGGGGGGGGGTCACTATTAGGAGACACCGTCACTGTGCTTGTGATTTGGGCAAATAGTGCCTCTTTTAAACCAACTCTGAAGTAGTGGTCACATGACTTGTCACTTGCTTCTTACAATCTGGCTTGCAGCACCAGACTGGGAGGGGTAGAGTGGTGCCCATCCAAGTGACATGGTAATGACGCATGCTGCACTTGGACTATGTATCTCAGAATGCGTTGCACTGGGAGTGAGCTCACTCCTGCCTGTGGGCCCAGAAACACCCACATTGACTATGCGAAGTGTGGGGACACATCACACGTAGTCCAAAGGACTATAGGAGGCTTGTCCTTTACTCCCTGGGGGTTGAGGAAGTAGTTGTAATAACGCTGGGTGTCATTCAATCTAAAATGAGGCGGAACCATTGGACCGAAGCTGCTTTATAACTGCATGTTCAGGGGGGAATGGATAACTGAGGCTGGAGTTGGGCTTTGATGCTTTTTTTTTTATTCTGCAGTAACTTTTGTAGTAATTTGCTGGAGGTGCAGTTTGCAGTAAAGGCAATCTGGCACTCCAGGCTCCTTTTTTTTAATTAATTTTGTAGCCTCCACAGTCTGTAAAAGCTGGAGGCCTTCCTAATTGGGTTTGACTGTCTATTTTGTACTGGCATAAAGACACAGCACTGTCTTTCTCAATAAGAAGAGAGGACAAGACCCAGTAGAACAGCCAGCTCCCTCCATCTTCAGTCAAGCCATGCATGTGTGAATTCGCCCAGGAAAGAATGATTTCTTCATTAAACGTATCCTGTTTTGTCTAGATTTCCCTCAACATGGACCATGAAGACGTCCCGGAGTTCCTGAGCCCGAAGGAGGAGATTTTGTATTGGAAAAAACTGTCACAGACTTATAAACAGAGGTGAGGCAGTGTTTATGTGATCCTAACAGCCATGTATGTGGTGTCCAAATATAGGGATTCCATTGGGTTTGTTTCCATTTCAAGACCAGGAATGCCTTCATGGCTTTGTGATTGAGCAGATTGCACTTAAATACTGGTCACATCTTTCTGCCTTTGAGGAAGGGACCCTGCGCGGCCCCGAAACGTCGGTTTATTTGGATGTCTGTGACGCTTTCTGTCCAATAAAAGGGACATATTTATCTTTACTACTGAGTGCTGGTGATTTCCTGACTTTCCTGCAATAAAGGCATCCTGCGGTGATTTGGACCCACTTGTACCTACTGCATGTGGATTTGGCATATGACAAAATCACCGCATACCCTATTTATCAATGCCGTGTTTGTAATGGAAACCAATAATACGAAATCACCTGCACTCCATACAGCGTACAGACCTTGGATGAAAGGACGGTGCTTGAAGTGACAACACGGATGGCGTGGTGTCAGATACAGTCCATAATAGAAGTCACCAGCACTCAAGGATGTGTTCAAGAAGTAAAGCACTTTTTATTGTCACCTGCGTCCTACAGCCAACGTTTTCGGGGATATTCTACTCTGTGAGTCACTATGTCGCCCAGAAGAAGGCACCCTGCGTAGCTCCGAAACGTTGGCTGTATGACGCAGGTGACAATTTAATAAGAAAGTGCTTTACTTCTTGCACACATCCTTGAGTGCTGGTGACTTATACTATGGACTGTAATGGAAAGCAGTCGTATTTCCTATGCACTTTGCTTTTGTAGTGAACTGAAGGAACCTGGCTGTTGCCAGACACTAAGGCCCCATTCACACTCCGCGATATGCAAATCGGGCGTTTGTCGCGCGATTTGCATATTGCTCGATATCGCGAGATTTGCCGCGCGATATCGCGTTCAAGCTTGCATTGAGCAAGCTTGAATCGCGGCTAAATCCGCTCCAAAAAGGGTCCTGCTGTAGCGACACACGACCCGCGACAGCAGGACCCTTTGCAATGCATTGAAGACCGATATCGCACTGTAATTTGCCGCGATATAGCGGGAATTACCGCGCAATAAATCGCTCAATGTGAACGGGGCTTAAAGGTCCACGGTTCATTAAGTAACCTTTTCCGTTTCTTCTTTTAGTTTTCAGGAAGCGCGGGACGAGTTAGTGGAGTTTCAGGAAGGGAGCAGGGAATTGGAAGCAGAGCTGGAGACTCAGCTTGTACAGGCGGAGCAAAGGAACCGCGATTTGCTATCGGACAACCAAAGGCTGAAGTACGAGGTGGAAAGTTTAAAGGTAAGGCGCCTGTTTTATCTGATATCGTCTGTTCATAGATATCATTTGTAGCTTTAGCAGACCTAAAGGTGTATGCTTGCCTGGTTTAGATGACAAATGGAGCGGTCTGACTAGAAGACAGATCCACTGAAGACATCACTGGGCATAAAGAGGCGTTTCTTGAACGCAAAATGATTTGATGATTACATGTTGATTGGGTGGGAGAGAAAGGTGGAAGATAGTTTAAAGCTGGCCACAGACCTTACAACCATCGCAAGACTTTTGTCTTGTGATGGTTGTAAAGTAATTTAAAAAAACGTACGATCTGCCCATCTTGGACAGGCAGATCGTACTTGCGATAATCGCAAGCCCGCCCCGCTGAATGGGCAGTGTGCGCTTGCGCACACCGGCCCGGCTTTTATCTTACGAACATGTTCCTAAGATAAAAGTCGTGCGACAGCACAGTAAAAACGGTTGCACGCCTTCCACACACCTTGCGATAATCGTACGATCGCAGGATTTCCAGCGATTTTATCGTACGATTATCGCAAGGTGTCTGGTCACCTTTAGACTTCAGCTTTAAAACAAGCCATCCCTGAACTCTCCAGCAACATGTATTGTGAAGCAATTCATCCTCGAAGATCACAACAAAGTCTAAAGTCCGGTTTCAGTTGGTTTGTAGGTTGCCAAGATTCTGCTGCAATAGAAAGTAATGGGAAACGAGCTAAGATTTCAGTACGTCTGTTTGAAGATGAGTTTCTTCACAATGCCTGTAGCTACAGAGGTGAATTGGTATACAGTGCTTTTACTGCTTGTTCAGAATATGTAAATCTCTTAGTGTGCCTAGTCTGGGCAAATCTATAGGAGCCAATCACATATTCCACATTCACTTCTAATGGGGTGAGAGAGCTGCTGCTTTCATGGCCCACTCACAGGTAGAGCTTATGTGGTGCTGAGCTAACTGTGTTGCATAACTGCAGTAAATAAATTAGGTCTCCTGAGCCGTGTAAATTTCAGGGCTGGATGGATGGAAATCCAAATCATTTGGCTAGTAAAACCACTAAAGTATATGTATTTCAATGTATTCTATGTACTTAGCGGTTTGCGTAGGGTTCAGCTGTGAGACTTTTGATGATTTCCAATTTTAGGAGAAGCTTGAACATCAGTACTCGCAGAGCTACAAGCAGGTGTCCCTCCTGGAGGATGAGCTGAGCCGTGCTCGAAATATCAAGGACCAGCTCCACAAGTATGTCAGGGAGTTGGAACAGGCAAACGATGACCTGGAAAGAGCCAAACGGTGAGCTGTGCAGAGGTTTGTTGTGGGTAAAGGACAAATGTCTTGCGTGAGGTCAGGTGACTGACCTTGATTTATCATTCTGTGGCACGCCATCCAGTTGTCCTCGCAGTCCCCCTCTGAATTTGGTATTGCAAGGCTTTCCCCAGGAGCTGAGCATTGCACCTGTTCTTCAGAAAACGCCATGTGGGGAGAAAGAAGCGACTCAGTCTGCACCAGCTTTGTGTTTTTGTCAGACATTTCTTGGTTTTCACTCCAACCCAGAACTTGGTGGCCCATAAGCTCCATAACCCTGTTTACAAACATCAGAAAATTACCTTTTATTTACTACTAAATTCGTTTTTTTGTTTGTTTTTGTCTTGTAATGTATAAAAGTGACAGAAAATGTTGTGACGTTGAAGTACATTATAACCGGATTTGGTTAGAAAACAACAACGAAGTTAAAGTGGAACTCTGAGCACTTCGGACCTCCCTTACCTTTTTAAACTACCTTTTTCATGCATTATTCGACTCAGTCCAGTGATGTGACATCCCTTCCTCTTCCTCAGCATAGGGACAGGTATTTTTCTAGGACTGAGCAGAGCTCATGTAAGGATGTGTGAACATGCCCAGTCCTGGAGTCCTGTGACACCAGCCTGGACAAGAAGCTGGGCTCATAGGAAATGGGCAGAATGACGGTGTTGTTCTGCACTAAAGACCTTCAGCACAGGACTGAGCAGGAACCCCTCCAGTAAGTAACACTGAGCAGAGCTCATTTAAGGATGTGTGAGCGTGCCCAGTCCTGTGAACCCAGCCTATTGTGAGGAAGCACCCCCCCAGGACAAGAAGCTGGGCTCATAGGAAATGGGCAGAATGACCGTGTTTTGCCCTAAAGAAGACCTCCAGCACAGGACGAAGCAGGAACCCCTCCTGTAAGTATCACAAAAGAATAGTGTCCTGTAACACCAATCTACGTCGGAAAATGTTGTACTCCAAAACTCATGACGTCAAACTCTCCACACCCAAATATTTGCCCCAGGACCAAAAATCTCCTCCACAGGTGTTCAAGATAGAAGCAGGAACCCGTCGGGTAATTAAACCCCGCCTCACTCCACAGAAAAAGGAAATTGCTTCTTTCGGTGGTATTTTATATCAAACTAACAGGCCGGAGCATGTCTTTGCCTGATGCTGTGACATTGGTGTTTGCCTCACTGCAGACGTTCTATCAACTGCACGTTGTATTATTAGAAAGCGAGGGTGGCTCTTACAGTAAAGACGTCAGCAAAGTCTAAAGTTTGATGACAGGCAGAGGAAAGGCGTCACTCGCGATGTATGGCTCATTCTTTGTATAGAAAATGTCTTTTTGTGAGGTGTTAAGTGAGCTGTTTGATCTCCTGTCCACAGGGCGACGATCGTGTCTCTGGAAGACTTCGAGCAAAGGCTGAACCAGGCCATCGAAAGAAACGCTTTCTTGGAGAGCGAGCTTGATGAAAAAGAGTCTTTGTTGGTGTCGGTACAAAGATTAAAGGACGAGGCGCGAGGTAGGATTTGTATTTTGTGTGTCACTCTATTTATTCTCTCATCTTAGACATAATAGCTTCTTGCACATGTTCCTTTTTCCTGTACACACCGAAAGGTGTCACCTGAGATTAACTTGTTCACTTGCTTCTAAAAATACGCTCGGAATCTCTTTAAAGGAAAAATAACACCCAAACAACAGGACTAAAAAAAGATTCTGACGCAATTCATTTTAGAAAGAGCCGTTTGTTAAAGGAGAAGGTCCCAGTCATCAGTGTTCAAGCCCATTTGAACGTATTCATTACACATCATATCCTGCAGCCACCACAAAATAATCCTTTAAATCATGCATAATAATTAGGGATGCTCCGAAATTTCGGCCGCCGAAACATATGGGCCGAGAATGGCACTTTTGGCAAAATGCCGAAAGTGCCATCTTTCGGTCGAAATAGCGGTGCATCCCTGCTTTCTCTCCTCCCGCAACGCACGGCCTCCTGTGACAGATCATGAGAGAGGTGGTGTGGGGGCAGAGACAGCTGTCACAGGAGGCTGTGCGGGGGAGGAGTCACCTGTCAGAGATCGAGCTCTCCCCCACATCACTCGCTCAGCCTCCTGTTACAGCGTGTCAGGATCAAGAGCGGGTACAAGCAGTCAGTGATCGCTGAGTGTTTTGTAAATAATTGAGGGCAGAGTATGATTACTATGTCCCCAATAATGAATGAATGGGAAGTGATCTCTTACACTTCCTGTTCATTCATGATTGTGGACATGGTAAACATGCTATCTCCTGGCCTACAGAATTATTTTGTTTGCCAGTGTCCAATCCTCCTGTAGGCAGCAGTATAACCCGACAGCAGATTAATTACTGTGTCTGAATAGACTCGCAAGAAAAGGATTTTATAGTGAGTACAAAAATCATATTATAGAGCTGTAATTAGACATGTTATTTAAGCAGCAAAAAGCAAATGATCTATAAAGTTGATATTCCTATAATAAGATTTCTACATGTGAATAGGAAGCACAGTAACAAACTGCCATTGTTCACCCCCATGACTGAAGATCTGTTGTCATTTTGTCTGGGCCGCCGGTCTATGACAGGGCTGTTACATTCACTGGCAGAGGCTCCGTTCACACTGGCCGGAGTCCAGACAAGAGGATTATTTGTGTATTCAGGAAAGTTTTATACCAGATGGCTCTTTCATCATCTATGGCTCTTCAGAGAAAGCCTTCCATGTAATTACACAAGGGGGCAAGTTGAGGATCATTGTTAATAAAATTTGTGTGTTTTCAGATTTAAGGCAGGAATTAGCTGTACGGGAAAGACAGACGGACGTGAGAAAATCCGCACCGAGTTCTCCGACTTTGGATTGCGAGAAGACCGACTCGGCCGTCCAGGCGTCCTTGTCTTTACCCGCCACACCCGTGGGCAAAATCCCAGACAACAGCTTTAGCTCTCCGAAAGGTCAGTCCACCGTCACAAGGCCACACAACAAGAGCTCAAAGCTGGACTTATTATTTTTTGCCTTAATCGACCTCATTAGCTTTCTAATAGAACCTAATTGTTTAAATAGTTTTATTTTTAATATATACTTGTGACGAGAGAGCATGGAGCCGGCTTCCCGGCCAATCAGGAAGCACTGCCCGGGTTCCTGATTGGTCGAGAAGCTGGCCAATCAGGAAGCCAGGCGCCGTGTAATGACGCGACACCCGGCTTTCTGATTGCCCGGGAAGCCAGCTTCATGTTCCCTCATCACCTCATGAGGAGGGTGCATGGAGCCGGCTTCCTGGCCAATCGGGAAGCTGGGCGGCTAGTCATTACACGGCGCCCGGCTTCCTGATTGATTGGCTAGAAAGTCGGCTCCATGCTCTCTCGTCACAAGTGACGAGAGAGCATGGAGCCTGCTTCCCGGCCAATCAGGAAGCTGGGCAGCGTGTAATGGCGCGCTGCCCAGCTTCCTGAATGGGACTTTCGGTATCGGCGGGTACTGGAAAAAAAAATCGGTACTCGATACCGAAATACAGGTATCGGTGCATCCCTAACAAAATGCTTTTAGTGGTTGTCAGTCTGGAGGAGTGGGTGTTCCTAGGCAGGCTGCATTTGCATTCAGACTTCCCTAGGTAATGCCCCCAAGTGACGCTGAAGCTCCATGATTAAATTAGCTGAAAACCAAAGGGGAAAGCCAGGGACAGTAGGGGCAGGAGACAGGGGCGGAGGGTTGGGGAGAGTTAAGTTGTGCCGGGGACCTGGGGGCTTTGGGAATACTGAAAAATCAAATGTTAGTCATGGCTTCTTCTTTTGTTAAGCTGTTCATTAAAATGTATGTAAAGCCAACACTGTTTTCTTTGTTCTGGATAGGGTAGGGAAGTCTTATAACAACTGTTGAGTGTTTATTGTCAAATCTGTTACAAGCAGTTAGGGATCCGCACCAATAGTCAGAGTCCAGAATGTTAATTAATGGCAAAAGATATCTAGTGCATTTCGGGGGTTCAGACATACTGTAAAATCTGGTGGTAGTATTGGATTTTACTTGTATTAGTATTATCAGTGTCCCACCAGTATTCTCAATAAGTCCAGTCATTTTAGAGGTCACATGATATACAAGCCGTTATGAAGACGGACATGTCGGATACCCAAATGCATTGGCTCTATTTCATCTTTATTAAATGAAACATTCTGGACCCTGCAACCATGGGTGTAGTGCCCTTTACTGCTTTTTAAATGTTTGGACTGCTCTCAGGACCTCCCTTTTGTCTGGGGTGCTCTGGTACACATCACTGAAGCAGGTCGGCTCGATTATAACGGTCATTCGTAATACTGTCTGTTAACAATGGAAGATCTAGCACCTCAATTGTATGTACCCTGAGGTGTGTCCCCACTGGGCAGATTCACCTTCTTTACTGTCATCTCCAATACAGAACGTTAGGGGAAATCCAAAATATTAGAGCAGTCAGGAACAAGAAGTAAAAGTAGTTCAAAAGTTACACCAGTTCCAGTGACATCCAAGATGTAAATTAATGTCACTTTGGAAAGATTTTATTTCACTTTGTGCCGTGTCTCTAGAACAGGAAGTAAAGGGAAATCTCCCTGATAGCGGTCGAAAAGCCCCCAAAAACCGCCCAACAGCAAATTTAACTATTCCTTACTTTATCCAAAACCTAAAAACATTTTTTTTCATACAGTTTAAAATTTGCACTTTTTATGGCTTTTCCTGTCAGTTCAGGTTCACTTAACATAAATGGTCCCATTTGTAGGACACATGTTCTCCCTTTTGCAAATGATGCATCATGTCTCCTCGTGTTTGTGTTGGTATGGTCAGCCGGAATATTGGCTAAATTTTAGGTCAGCGTCAACTTACTTGATGTGAGGGGCCTCAAGAGCGGCACTAGACACCACCAAGGGGGCCACACATGGTGTTTAGTACTTAAAGTGACATTAAACCCTCAGAATTTTTAACATAAAACAATACTGTAATGTGCGCCTTACTGTAATCCATGGTAGTTTCCCTTCTCTTTGCTGCTCTTGCTTTTTAAATCCTCATGTCTTCTCATGCTGGGGGAGAACTTCCCTTTTCAGCTCAGGGCCTCTTCCTGTAGTGCTGGCTCAGGTTACAAACCTATACACAGACACCATGTATCCATTACAGAGACAAGGCAGTCTGCTGCAAAACAGAAGTTCTGCCCAGCATGAGAACAGATACAGATTTAAAAGGAAGAGCAGCAAAGAGAAGGGAAACAACCATGGATTACAGTACGGCGCACATTACAGTATTGCTTTATGTTAAAAAATCTGAGGGTTTAATGTCACTTTAAGCTGTCAAAGGCTGAAGATACAGTACGTGATACTGCTGTCACAGCCCCTTTACAAATCATTGCTTCCACATTTGTGACCCCCGGCAATCCACTTAGTTTCTTGTGCCACATTTGATATCTCTCTGCATTATGAAAGATCAGAGTGAAGAAATATAAAAAGAGAAAAGGGGTGGACGGCACAGAAATGAGATATTGTGAAAGAAATAAACCAAACCATTGAAATACTAGAAGCCGGCCTAAAGAATATTTTTCCTTTTGCGTGCTTGAGGAAGCACCAAAACACGAGCAGGACCCTCCTAACCTTCTTGTCTTGCATTGTATTGTACTGTCGTCGTCTTCTTCCTTCTTTTTTTTTTTTTTTTTGCACAGTGCAGTGCAAACTGTTGGCACTATATCAATCCTGTATAATAATAATATAAAAATAATAACATATTACTATCATCAGGGCCCTGACGGTTGACCAATAGGTGCCAAAGGGTCGCATGCTGCTCTAGGTTGCAGGGGTCTAAGTACCTCCAGCAGCCAATTCTTTAAATTCATTCCAAAGTAAAGATAATGCGTGTCCTTTTCGGAGTAGGGTCAGGACAAAGCTGAAAATCATTGTGAAGCAGGAAGCCCCGGAGACTATTTTTTTGTCATTATCATTTCCTCTTTAGAAGTGTTAGAAGTTGAAAGTGTTTTGTGGCATTTTATGTAAAATTGACATTTGTGTTCTTCTCTTAGGTATACCTAACGGTTTTGGTACCACCCCCCTGACTCCGTCCGCCAGGATATCTGCACTTAACATTGTGGGGGATCTCTTAAGAAAAGTTGGTGTAAGTATTGATCTGTGATGCCCAGGACCTGCCTCAGCTATACTGCTGACAAGGGATGCACTGATACCGGCGCTTTAAATTTTTAAACTGAAGCGGCTACCTGTGGTCCCCTGCACTTGCTGGGGACCTCGACAGCCTTCTAGTGAACCGCGGTGCCTGTTTACAGCGCCAGCCTCATATCTCTTCCTCCTTCCTGCGGGGCTGTTTACAGCGCTTCCGCTGCACGCATCCACCTGCCAGACCCTCCGTACCCCTGGGGGGACTACACGCAGCCTTCTTGAGACCCTGGAGACATCAGGCTACCACCCCGTAGCAACACAGAGTGCGTAGCTTCATATTATTCTGCATGGCACTACAATTGCTGGGATTTGTAGTCCTCTATAGCTGGTGATGTTCTGCATTGCTGTATGATATTTTGCTGGGATTTGTAGTCCTCTATAGCTGGAGATGTTCTGCATTGCTGTATTATGCATTGCTGGGATTTGTAGTCCTCTATAGCTGGTGATGTTCTGCATTGCTGTATAATATTTTGCTGGGATTTGTAGTCCTCTATAGCTGGTGATCTGCATTGCTGTATAATGCATTGCTGGGATTTGTAGTCCTCTATAGCTGGTGATGATCTGCATTGCTGTATAATGTATTGCTGGGATTTCTAGTCCTCTATAGCTAGTGATGTTCTGCATTGCTGTATAATATTTTCCTGGGATTTGTAGTCCTCTACAGCTGGTGATGTTCTGCATTGCTGTATAATATTTTGCTGGTATTTGTAGTCCTCTATAGCTGGTGATGTTCTGCATTGCTGTATAATGTATTGCTGGGATTTCTAGTCCCTCTACTGCTTAGAGTCGGTGGCAGAACTACCAGGGTTGCAGCGTTTGCAGCTGTGACAGGGCCCTGTTGCTCCACCACTGTCCTAAAATCATTCGTCTATGTTTTAGAAAAACTGTCACATGACCCTAAAAAGAAAATGGTATCTGTAATTGGTATCGGCGAGTACTTTAGGAAAAGTATCCGTACTGTGTCTGGGGAATAAAATGGTATCGGTGCATCCCTACTGCGGACGATTCAAAACTTCCTTCCACTGATGAAACAATTATTGCTGTTTACACAAAAACTCAAAAGCCGCTTCTGTGCTCAAAGTGAATCGATCATTAGAGACATTTATATAAATGGCAGCTTGCTCAGTAATGTCGGTGTAACCCTTTCAGGTGTTTCTTATTCCTCACAGAGATCACAGTGTGACCCCCCCCCCATGACAATGCCATCATCTGTATTTCTCTCCAGAAGGACAGAGCTATCTTTGTTCTGGCATCATCTAGGGTCACCAGCTACATCCTGGACTGAGATGCTGGCTCAGGGATTACACAATAACTTTAGGGAAATGCAGCACTTCCTGTATCTTTCTAAAGATCTGCGTGTAATCTTTACTTCATCAATCAGCACACAGCATATGTCTCAGACAAGATTTCTTAACATGTTTTACGCTTCATGATCTGATTAAACGCAAGTATGCGCGAAATGCATTCGATTTTGTCTTGGACATACCGTATGTCTTATGCTGATTGATGAATGAAAGACTGCACACCGATCTTCAGAGATACAGGAGTGCCGTGTTTCCTTGTAGTTGGTGTATTTCGTGCCTGGTTGAGAGCTGGTGTGTGCACCTTGTCAGCGGATCCAAGTGAATCAACCTGAAGTAGCAACTAGTACATGTGCCTCATGTAAATCTTGGTGCCTGTGCAGTTCTTGGAGGTGTTTACATATGTCTGAATCAGATCAGCCCCTGCTGCAACATCTCACCATGTGACTTGCAATAAAGTTACAGCGGTGTTATCTGATCACTGGAGGAAAGGAGACTAAAGGTGCCCATACACCTTACGACCATCGCAAGACTTTTGTCTTGCGATGGTCGTATGCTTATTGAAAGCTCGTACGATCTGCCCACCTTGGACGGGCAGATCGTACTTGCGATCATCGAAAGCCCGTCCCGCTGAGGGGCGGGCTTCCGATGACCGCAATGCAGAACGGGCAGTGTGCGCGTGCGCACAGCGGCCCATTCCGCAGCTATCGGACGAGGAGGCTAGAAACACGCCGCAAATCGTACGATTCTCGGCGGGTTTTCGAGCATGTTGGTTCAACAAAAGACGTGCGACCGTACAGTAGAAACGGTCGCACGTCTTCGTTCACACTGCTCGATTCTCGTACGATCGCAGGATTTCGCCCGATTCTCGTACGAGAATCGAGCAGTGTATGGGCACCTTCAGGCAATGCTTCCTCTTGCTGCAGACTGATGACATTTCAGCCTTGGAATGTAGCTCAATTACCACTTTTTTATGATGTGATGTAAAACTATATCGGATGATAGGTTGTGGTAAAGCACAGTAAATATAGTTTTTGCAAACTTAAATGAAGTAGGATATAAACATACACAGTCAGGACAGTTCGTTAGCAGAATGAAAAATGAATCACTTTAGGTATTTGTTGTAAATCTGTTCAGTTTTTCAATGCTTGTTAGAAACAAAAAACACCCCACTGAGATCTTATTAGGCCATTTTAAAAGAGAGTCCTGCACATGGAAAGTGTGCAAAAAGAGCACTTAAATCAATTAAGGCAACTGTGGATCTCCAGTGTGAGCAAAAATGTTAAAGCTGAACTCTGGGGAAAGGAACAATCCACTTTTGCAATGGGGCTCCCCCTGAACTGCAATGGTTATTTGTCTATGGTAGCATTGCTTTTCACTTTTACTTTACCCCCCCCCGGTAGCTGGCACTCTCCTCTGCCCTCTAACGCTCTTGAGTTGTGGGTGGGCGGGCATTCTGACTTACAATGCAAGACAAACAGTCCTGGATTGTATGTGATGACATCAGAGATGAAGCCGCCGGACGGAGCTCCAGAGAGACGAGGCTTCGGAGGACCGGTCACGTGTGAAAAATAGTCTGTGGGAGGGGTTAAGGGATAAGGTGGGTTAATATGCTTTTATTTGGGTCCCTAGTCAAAAGCAACCATATAACCTTCACAGTATGGGGGAGCCCCCACACTCCCCAGAGTTTGGCTTTAAGCTGAACTTATTCACCTCTGAGAAGCTACCAGAAGGGCAGAATGGCTTTTTTTGCAGCCGGAAAGAGAAGGTTAATCTCCAGCTGTGGAAAAAAAAAAACTAAGAGCTGTGAAAATGTGGATCTTGTATTTTGCTTGTATCCTAGTCAGTAACTTGCCGATTTCTCCTTTTATCTGCAGGCCTTAGAATCTAAGCTTGCTGCATGCAGGAACTTTGCCAAGGACCAGGCCTCCCGCAAGTCCTACGTCCCAGGGAGCCTAAACAGCAGTAGCAGCAGCACGAGCAGCATAGTAAACAGTGGAACAAAGTACTCCCACTCCGGGCACACAACCTTCTACGATAAGGGGTGAGTGCAAACTGTAGGATGTCCACATCTTCTGGTGTTTTACATAGTAGCTTGTCTGTCGGTTTCTTTCTGCTTTTACATAGCGTTAACTTCAGAATTGTTATTGTGAAATAAGTGTTTTGCTTCTGGATTCGGTATCGCCTGCTTGTGACGAGCATCTGTCAACAGTATTTCAAGAGGAACTAAACCTAAAATTGCTGGGCCATGGCTGAGCATAACTCGTGTCTCGTCGTTGTCCTTGAACCAAAAGGCGTGCTTTCTCAGAGGTTTTTCTGTACGCTCTACCATACTTCTGTGAAAGAGCTTTGATGTGTGTGGTACCACCGGATGGGTTTTAGCCTCAGCTGAGTTTGGTGCCCAAACTCCAGTTTTGGGCTCTTTGGTGGTAGTATATTGGGACCGCTTTTTGGTCCTGAGATGCACACCTTCTGGAGGAGCCAGTCAGTATGATGATTCCTCAAACTGTTTCTGTGTGTTTATGGTGAAGATGTGGAAGGTGTTGCATATCAGTGGTTCTCTTCCAGGTTTTATTGGTAATTCTAAAGTAATATAGCCATTGCCTTTAGAGGAATTGGCGTTCCCCCTTTTTTAGGATTCACTGTGATGTTTAAGATGTGTGCTGTGATGCCACTGGAAACAGTATCTGGGTCTTTGGGTTGCTTATTGACTAACAATGCACACAGACCAACCCAAAGACCTGCACACTACGTCCAGCGACCTCGGAGCACACCTCTTAAAGGAGAACTATGGGGTCAGGGCTTTTCCCCATAGTTCTCCTTAGTGTAACGAGAGGGCACAAACTAGCGTCCTACGGTTACCCTAAGCTCAGTATATCGCGAGCTACATCTCGCGGTATACTGAGACGCCGGAGCGGATCCCGACATCGATGTCCAGATCCGCCCAGCTGCGTGAGTGACCGCTGGCTCTGCCTATCTAGTGGCAGAGCCAGCTGTACCCTCCCCCGTCCGATCTGCCAGTCAGCGCTGGCGGATCGGAGGGGGGAATCCAGCCCCTCCCCTGTCACGGCAGAGGGCTGCGACAGGATCGAGAGGTGAGCGAACGCCGGTATGTGTTCGCTCACCTCCCAATCTACTGAGCCGACCTGTGACAGTCTCATTGTCACAGGTCGGCTAGAACTATGAGGTGAGTGAAAATCACTCACCTCATAGTTCTCCTTTAAACATCACCAGGGTCCGTTCCAATCCCCTGAAATGAATTGGCTGTATTTATGATTACCAGTAAAAACTGAAAGACAACTGATCATATGCAACACTTGACTTGAGGTGTTCTTCACCACACACAGAATACTTCTCTAAACATTTTGGGTGCAAGGTGGCATAGGAACCTGCAGAAGTGCAGGCTGTAAGTAGTGGAGTGACCATGCTTTGACTGGCTGTTAAAGGGTTCATCCACACAGAAATTCTTAGGTGGTACCTGGTGGGTTGAGTCCCTTCTGGCTTTTTGTTTTATGGGGACTCCAGGGGCAAGCTCCTTAAAGGTGTAGGTATTCCCTTCCATCATGGAGTGTCCCTGCTCCATCTGTTGCACTTTTCAGAGTGCAGGGTGTCTCTAAAGTCCACTCCTAACCCAGTTAAACTTCCCTTTGCAGCACTCTGCTGCTGCTCCCTCTTGTTGTTTCTTGGTATTGGGGCGCATGTGACCTCTTCCTATAATGCAGTGTTTGTGCCTAGAAGCCAGTCGCTGGGCATGAACACTGTCACACTTGTGGGGGTGATGTCTTCTCTCCCTGTAAGCAGTACCACTATATTTAGCCCTGAATGGACTGGGTGGGGATAAGGAAACGATGAGATATCTTGGCCACAGCGGACCATATTTCAGCTGTGGATTTGATAACAGCACACAGAATTGCACCGCCATGTACCAAACATTTTCCTGTGCTAGCTGCCCCCCCATTTTTGCGGCATTTTCTTTTTTGGGTTTAGTTCCGTACTGTGAAGAAATACTGCGGTTTCATCAAAAGACGCTTGTATATGTGTTCTATTGGATAAGCTTTTTTTCTTTTCAGCCCTACCCCGTGTTCTCAGGTAAGTGAGGCTCGGCTGGACTTGCGCACCTCAGAAAACCGCGTCCAGGTGGGCCGGAAATAACGTTGTCTCTCTTTTCCCCCCCACTAGGCAGGAAACGGTCATTTTCCCCACGTTGTTTATGGGTAATTGAACATAGCAATAAGGTTGCATGCTGGTGTTCTGCCTCTGGGTGACTTAACATGAACCCCTCCTCTCTCCAATATGGCCACACTAACTGCATGGGGCGTCTCTCTGCAGCTTATCCTGTCTAAACTCAGGAATGTTGGGGATTTTTTTAGATTTATGTGGCGTTGGTAAGATATGAGCATCAGGTTTTCATGGCATTCTTCACGAAGCTGGCAAAACTTTTAAAGCTGTATTCATTGGATCTAGGAAGCTGGAAAGGAACTAACGCGTTTTTCTGCGGTCACATTGCGTTTCTGATGTCAGCGGTTGGTTGTGTACGTTTTATGGAAGCAAAATATTAAAGCCCATCTAAATTTTCAGTTTAAATCTGCTAAATAGGTTCATCATAAGAACAAAAGGTCTGCAAAGTTTTACAGCCAAGTAGAAAAGCCCGTCCCCATCCAGCATGCTGCAGAGAAGGACACTTGCTTTCTGTCTGGAAGTAGTTATCTCTTTGCAGTGCGTCTGCCTCTGCACAGGACATGCCGGACTTCTGCAATCAGCAAAGGGCATACACTTTGTTGACTGGAGAGCTCTGGCTCAGCAGGGGAGGTGCATTGGATCGCTGCAGAGAGACCACGGGTTCCTCACTGAGAGCAAAGGTCTTTCTCTGCAGCACGCTGGCAGGGGACAGGCTTCTCTACTCGCTGTGACTGCTTTAAGATTTTGTTTTGCTTCACCTGTAAGGCCCCGTTCACATTGAGCGGTTCGCAAATCGCGCGTTTGTCGCGCGATTTGCATTTTGCGCGATATCGCACGATTTGTCGCGCGATATCGCGCAAATGCTTGCATTGAGCAAGCTTGAATCGCGGCTAAATCCGCTCCAAAAAGGGTCCTGCTGTAGCGACCCGCGACATCAGGACCCTTTGCCCCATTGAGAAGCTTTGGAGAGCGATATCGTGCGGTAAATTGTCGCGATATCGCGGGAATTACCGCGCGATAAATCGCTCCATGTGAACGGGGCCTAATGCATTTAGCTGATTTAAACCCAAAGTTCAATTATGACTTCTCAGTCTTTGTTGCTGCCCCGTCTTACCATGTCCTCTTTGTTGGGAAGGTGGAGGACTGTGTGCTAACATTGCAGGAAGCAAAGGTGCTTCTAGGCGGTCATGTATAATGCACGGGTGACGCATGTGATACGGCGGTGTAACGGGGACAGGATGCCTTGTTGTTGCCATTTGGGTCGGCATGTAAATGATTAAAAGCACTAGTGACTGTGATGTCCCAATTTTCCCTTCTCTCTTATGTGTATGTAGTGGACTGTTACAGGCGGGAGGCCGTAAGGTCACTGGAGCAGCACTTTCCAGGAGCTGTACCTTACCCGTATCACCCCAGACTGATAAGCGGGCCGTATTTAACATTGTAGGAAAGGGTAGGTCCCGGTATTCATTTCCTTGTCACCGCTGGCTGATAAGACTGCATTCATGTCGCATGTTTTTTGTTTTTCGGACAATAGCTGGAAGCACTGGTGAAGGATCCGCGGAGTGTTAGCTCTGCAGGGTAGAGTCTTTTGTCTTGTGCTGTTTTAAGGTCCAGTGTGGATAAATAAATGGGAGACCGTTTAGAAACAAATGTCCTTTGCAGAGTGCCGGTGTCGGACATTTAGCTTTGTGAACTGCGTGAAGATGTTACTTGTGTGGATTGTCTGGTGTAGCGAGTCTGCAGCTTTCCCCTCCACATGGTTTCTGCTCGGCATCAAGAATGCCCCACTGTCAGCCCCAGCGTACCAGTCTGTTAGACATGTGATCAGAAATGCAGCGAGAGCCACAGCAATGGTCCTAGAGTCCAGAAAGACGTCTAAATGGAATAAAACAGCCAATGTGTTTCAAGGGGTTCAGGCACCCACCTTTTCATCATGGCTTCTATGCAGTACAACCTCTGTGACTGGATAGGATATGTGCTGCTTGTATTTGTACAATCAGAAGGCCAGAGCAGCAAGTCCGACAGCAAGGATTTGCTGACCAGCCTCAGCGCAGCTAGTCCATTTCTAGCTTCTCACAATACAGGATATTAACAGGAGCTCTACAGCCTCTTGTGTATGTATTCTGAACACATACGTGATATGTGATGGTAGCAATCTCCCTCTAACTCTGGGCTTCAGACAGATCTGCGAGTCTTAGAGCTGAACTCCGCTGTAAGCAAATATTGTCCTCATTCGTCAGTCTGGTGTATTCTTCCATGAATCGCGATAGGCTTTGTCTGTTTCTTCCAGATCTGTTATCCAGTGTGAGACTTGGAGCTTCCTGTAATAAAGACCGACCACTGCTGCTCTCTCTCTTTGTGCAGGGTGACTGGTCTTGTCTCCGCCCCCTCCTGTAATAAAGACCGGCCACTGCTGCTCTCTCTCCTAGTGCAGGGTGACTGGTCTTGTCTCCGCCCCCTCCTGAAATAAAGACCAGTCACCATTGCTCTCCTTTTCCAAGGTGAGTGGTCTTGTCTGTGCCCCCTCCTGTAATAAAGACCACTCACTGCTGCTCTCTCTCCTAGTGCAGGGTGACTGGTCTTGTCTCCGCCCCCTCCTGAAATAAAGACCAGTCACCATTGCTCTCCTTTTCCAAGGTGAGTGGTCTTGTCTGTGCCCCCTCCTGTAATAAAGACCACTCACTGCTGCTCTCTCTCCTAGTGCAGGGTGATTGGTCTTGTCTCCGCCTCCTCCTGAAACAAAGACCAGTCACCATTGCTCTCTCCTTCTGCAAGGTGACTGGTCTTGTCTCCGCCCCCCTCCTGTAGTTGTCTGCAGGCAGCCTGTAGTGGGAGGGGCATACCTGTCCCCTCCCACAGCTCTGCTCTCTGCACAGGCTATGTACAGCACTGTGATGATGTCACTGCTACTTTTAATAAGGTAATATTTAGGTTTGCAAAGATCTTTGGTGCACACGAAGCGGATTGAATTCCTCTGTGTCTTTTAATGGATATATTTTTTAGTTCTGGGCTCCGGGGTTCAGCTTTCAGTCTTTATTCAGATTCTGTGAGTGCAACATACAGAGAAGTAAAGAAAAGCTGTCAATGCATTCATAGATATGTCAGCCCCGGAATAAACTTTGCACAGGCAACCCGTACAATGTGTGGTGGTATGCAGTAACACTTCTAACCCTGGCATGTACTTATATTTATAAAGAACTCCGGGAAGCTTTTTTTATTAACCCTTGCAGTGAAGCTACTTCCATACCGCAAGGGTCAACTGCTTGTTTGTGCCTAAGGGACTAAAATAAAAAATGTTATACTCACCTGATGCTCAGA